AGAATCTGGAACACGTCAACTACGTTTTCGAGGGGGACATCGTCCTACAATATTTTCAGCCCTGCGGCGTTGCCGCTGCTAACGAAAAGAAGCAACAACTTTGTTATTTCAAATGGAACACCTTGTATTTCATTGCATTTTCAGATTCTCCCCAAAGAGCTGATTTCATCAATGCATCACACTTGGGGTCTAGCTGTAATGGTTTCAGGGATATAAAGTGTTCAAAATCGAGATTTTTCAACTTTGACATTTTTTTGTGTCGAAACTATTCATTATTGGTCGAAACGGCTCTCATGTCCCTATCTCAACTTGTGATTTACTATCTACTGACATTTAATTGGAACAGATACAGGGTGATCAGAATTCTGAATCTTGAACCACCCTGTATTTGTTTCAAATAAATGTCAGTAGATAGTAAATCACAAGTTGATATCGGGACATGAGAGCCGTTTTGACCAATAATGAATAGTTTCGACACAAAAAAATGTTAAAGTTGAAAAATCTCGATTTTGAACACTTTATATCCCTGAAACCATCACAGCTAGACCCTAAGTGTGATGCATTGATGAAATCAGCTCTTCGGGAAGAATCTAAAAATGCAATAAAATACAAGATGTTCCATTTGAAATAACAAAGTTGTTGCTTCTTTTCTTTAGAAGCGGCAACGCCGCAGGGCTGAAAATATTTTAGAAAGATGTCCCCCTCGAAAATGTAGTTGACCTGTTTCAGTTTTTCTTGATAATCCGGTTTTGGCGACCTACAGAGCCTCTGTTTCGTTTTCAAAGGCCCACTCTGTATGACAATATCACAATGCAGAGGATTAGATTGTCTCTTTTAGATCAAATTCCAGGAATACAATTCATAATTCATGAACTTCGTATTATTTGTATTTGGTATTGTGGTATTATAACTTTTCATTGTAGTAGGCTATATTAATTTTCGAGAACTTTTTCCACCCTGTATCTCGAAAGTTGAGACGTTTAGGTCATACGTTTATATGAATCTTTCTTCTTAGAATGGGCCTAAGAATCGCCTCCTCATATATTGACATTCAATAATGAAACACCCTGTATATTCAAGAATATATTTATTCATTTTATTTTTTATTTATTTTATTTATTTGATACACAATATACACAATATACAATAACCCATTCAGTAACAATAAATTCAGTAATCCTTATATACCAGTATAACAGAATATAAGCTAGCTATAGATTGTGTACAATTTGTACAATAATAGCACCTAAGTGAGTCAACACTTGTGTTGTGCTACAAAGTACATTATCAATAAATCTAAGTACAGTTGTGTACAGAGAGTTAGGAAACAAATGTGATAGAGTGTACCTATTGACTTTCTAATATTTTGATAGATTCAAAGTAATTATCGAAAATAAATTCTCTTGATTCCCTCGAAAAGACTTTGTGATTGTTGATAGCAACGTGTAATTTGGAAAACGATGACAAACATTTTTATTAAACTTTGGAGTAGGTAGCAATTCGTTGGTTGTACTTCTATAGTGATATAAATTGTGGGAACATAATTATGGAATATCTAATTTTTGAAAGCATACATACATAGACTGTGAAAGTATAGTGATCGAATATTATTAAGATCTTCTGAATATATAAGATTAGTGTGAAATGATCTTTTCTGCTTCAAAATTATTTTCAGAATATAGTTCTGTATTACGTTTAGTTTCTGCAAAGAACTTTAATACATTGCTCCCCACACCAGAATACCATAACGGAAAAGTGATTCAGCTAGAGATTTGTAAATTAATATGAGACAATAACTTCTATAATATCAGGAGTATCAAAATAAGATCCGGTATAGGTAGATGGTCTGTGGAAAGAACAGGTTTCGCATATATTTAACGTTCTGGCCACTTCCGGTTTCTCCGGAAATGACTACAGTTTTGAATTTCCAAAAGGATGATAGTACCCCCCATACCACTTTCTCTTCCAAGGCTCCAATACCAGCCAAGCAAATTAGAAATAAACGAGGGAGAAATGTTGACAACATAAATATGGACTTGGCAACAATTTTCGAATGGAGATCCAATAACTTGGTAGATTTCAATGCAAACAAAACACAAGCATGCCTTATCTCTAGAAAAGCCGATCTCACTGTGCCCAACATAAGCTTGTCAGGAGCAACCATATCTTCGAAGACATCCATTTCGATGCTTGGTATTACTATCAGCAATAACCTTTCTTGGGGAAATCACGTGAGATCAATTGCTAAAATTGCATCCCAAAAACTTGGTTTTTTGTTTCGGGCCAGCAGCTATTTCACTTCCAGTCAGCAGCTTATGATCTATAAGGCACAGATCCGACCTGTCCTGGAATACTGTTCCCATATTTGGAGTGCAGCACCCAAACATACCCTGAAACTGTTGGATTCTGTCCAAAACAGGGCAATTCGTCTCGTGGGTGATGCCTCGCTCACAAACTCACTCACTTCTCTGGAACACTGTAGAAAAGTTGTCGATCTGGCTCTATTTCATAGATATCTTCATGGACGATGCTCTCCTGAAATATCAACAATTGGTCCTCTCTTGGCAGTCCCCGCGAGATCAACCCGTCGAGTTGAGGCTTCGCGCCCCTTCGTGGTCACTTTGGAGACCTGCAGAACACCTCATTTTGAAGACTCGTTCATCCAACGAACAGCGAGGCTCTGGAACACATTACCAAAGGAGGTGTTCTCCGAGGGATAACCTCCAGAAATTTAAGAAGAACACCAATTCCTACCTCATTTCCCTTGGTTCCCACGATGTTCTCTGTCTTGAAAACGGATGCCGTTACGACATTTTTTTACTGAACAAACCCAACTCATTTTGCAGTGTTCTACCTACCCTATCAAGGGGGTCAGATTTTCCAGAAACACCCTGTATATATCCCGTTTATCTCGAGTTTGAATCAATATTAACTTTGAACATTATTTTATTATATTTTGATTTTTTATTTCTAATTTCTTTTCAATACTGACTTTCGAGAAATTCACAACGGATGAAAGGCGTGCTTGTTCTTTGGCATGGAGGAATAGTATGTTAGACAGTTGAAATAATGAATTGTTATTGTATTTGAGAAAGAAACATTTTGTTATTAACATGCCATACTATTTGTCTGAAAGTGTTTCTCCTCATTCACCATTTTGGTCCTCAGTAATCATTTGGTTGGAAAATATACTAATATACACCATGGAAAGTAAACTATCATGCACGAGAGGGCGCAGTTGTGCGGTAGTTTTCAAGTCAATCTAGCAACGTTTACGAAACCACAGATCGCTACGTACAGTTGAAACTGAAACGTTTCAAAAACTCAAAAATGATTGACCAAATCGATGCAAAAGAGGGCTGTGACAACGTTGTGTTGAGTTTGCCACCCGACTCTTATTCAATCACGTCGCCGTACCGTTAAATTGCTACTTAGGAATGAAATTACTGATCAATAGAAATAAATACTGTCTGTAGGTTAATCGAGGAGGTGGTACATTCATTATTCCAAATGTTTTGGGATTTCCTCTCCTCGATTCTATAAAATAAAAATATGAATATTATTTCAATATACGTGTAGTAAGGACAAATCAGATGATTTTGAAAAAATATCAAATTTTCACTTATCTTTGAACGTTTCGGAACCTATTTTGCTCCCGTTTCCAACATAAGAAATGATTATTTTTATAGTAAAGTCGTATCTGTCTTGAAGCTTTTCAGTTTTCATTGACAGTTGGTGACGTTGGCAATCAAATGAGTTACAGGATGTTTTCATTAATTAATCTTGAATTCACCATTTTCATGTTTAGATTTTAGTAGTGATTTTTCTCTTCTGGTTGTTATCTTCTTTTCCAATGATTTCAATATTATTCCACTCTGCCATGTGTTGTCCGTCTTCAGTAAGAATATGTTCAGCTAGTTTCGATTTATCGATGTGTCTTTTCTTTATATTGTACTTATGTTCCTTCGACCTTACTGAAAGAGGTCTCTTGGTTTCACCTGATGAGTTTTATCAACAAAACTCTGGGATGGCCATGGGATCGCCATTATCTCCAATTTTGAGCAATATATTCATGGAGAATCTCGAAGACAACATCATCAAAAATTACCAAAAACAACCTAAAACATGGTAGCGATACGTAGATGATATTTTCATAATTTGGCCACATAACATTATGGAGCTACATAATTTTCTGGATTATGTGAACAATGCCGAACCTACCATGAAGTTCACTTTGGAAATTTAATCTAACAATCAGTTACCATTTCTAGATGTTCTTACTGAAAAATCAAATAACATCTTTGTAACAAGTATATATCGTAAAAAGACCCATACTAACTGATACTTGAACTTTCAATCAAATCACCAGGAAAGTATTGAGAAAGGAATAATCAAATCATTCCATGATAGAGCCAAATCAATATCATCTGACCAACAAATTTTCAATAACGAAGTCCACCACATTGAAAATGTTCTCCAACTCAATTCCTATCCAAAGAATTTTGTCGATAGGACGATTCATCAAATTGAAAACAAACAGGGTCAACCACTACAACATCAACCATCAATAACGACACATATAATACCATACATTCCCGACATATTTGAAAAAATAAAACGTGTTGGTGATAAATTTCAAGTGAAAACTGTGTTCAAAACTGAAAATACAATGAGATCAATTCTAACTCAAACAGAGCCGAAAATGAAGAAGAATCGTCAAAAAATTGTATTTACAGTATACCTTGTGTTTGTGGAAAGTTTTATACAGGTGAAACCAAGAGACCTCTTTCAGTAAGGACGAAGGAACACAAGTACAATATAAAGAAAAGACACATCGATAAATCGAAACTAGCTGAACATATCCTTACTGAATACGGACAACATAATAATATGGCAGAGTGGAATAATATGCAAATCATTGGAAAAGAAGATAACAACCAGAAGAGAAAAATCAAGGAATCTGCTTGCATTCTTCTGAACGAAGACAATAGCATTGCTTCTTGTTCAGTTGATATAGACAGAACATGGTATTCACTACTGAAATCTGAACATGAAAATGGTAAATTCAAGATTAATTAATAAAAACATCCTGTAACTCATTTTATTTGCCAACATCACCAACTGTCGATGAAAACTGAAAAGCTTCAAGACAGATACGACTTTAACACAAAAATAATCATTTCTTATGTTGAAAACGGGAGCAGAATCGGTCCCGAAATGTCCAAAGATAAGGGAAAATTTGATATTTTTTCTATATACCTTCATTTCTCTTCTTCAAATTTTTTTCAATACAAATTGTCACTGACAAGCTAGTGAATTTTTCTTTTAGGCTCTCTCATAGGAAAATTCTTTAAACGCAGTGACATTTTGGGGCAAATCATCTGATTTGTCCTTACTACACGTATATTGAAATAATATTCATATTTTTATTTTATAGAAACAAGGAGAGAAAATCCCAAAAAATTTGGAATAATGAATAGAAATAAAACCAAAGAATAAACAATAAACAATGTAAGTTTTATTGAACATTTCAAAAATTCATTTTCCGTTTGGGAATTCTTCAATTTGAGTATTGTATCAAATCTTCCCGCCTAGGTAGTGCTTTGTATGTACAAACGTCCTTAAGAAATCTTGCCGATGTTTTAGGTACTCGTCTCCTATGGGGATCATTGAAATCGATGTAGTAGGATCCATAATGTGAACTGAAAGAAATTAAATTTATAATTATAGTCGGGGGACCAGAATTCAAAGTACAATGAAGGACCCTGCACAGATCTTATGGGAAAAAGGTTTCGTCCAAATTAGCGGAAATTTTGGTATTTGGGCACAAATTTTTCATATGTACAGTTTTTTTCATATAGAGCGTGGAAGTTTCACTTTCATAAAATGTCGAATGCTCTTGATTTTTTATAAAACAAGCGAATTCAGTTTGACATAATAAAGAATAGAAAATATAGTGAACTCAGTCTTGATCAACATCCATAATATCCAACATGGCGGCTGCATGTGCCATTTCAATATCACTTTCAATCCGATACCACAAGGAAGAACTACATAGTGAATCGACAAATGGAAGTCTACAGGATGATTGAGAGTGGGCAATGCATGTGATGATCAGATTTATTGAGCGAAATTATAAATGTTACCAAATTCAGTTTGCCTTGATCGAGGACAGAAGATATAGGTAGTACATCAATTTTCAAAATGGAGGCTGTGTGCCATTTGGATAATTACAAATCACACAGAATATGGTTTACGGTGCCTCATTCGAAGCCATTCTCATATAAATAATGACTGATGGGACTCTAATACAGGATGATGAATCATTGTATACCAATCACCAAATACATTCTCAATCTTCAGAAACAGATTGTCATACATTTGAAAGCATTTCACAAGAAACTGTTCAACTAATGAGATTGATTTATATGTTCATAATTTCAGGTTCATCCTTTGATGTCTCAGTATAACTGGGAAGGAATAGTCTCAGATTCTTTCTCACAAATTCAACATAGATGGCTCTGATATCGATCAAAACATTCATAGCAATACCAATAAGTAATAATTAGTAATAATATACAAAGTGATTCATCTTTGCAATTTCTCAGGAACTTTTTAAGTCTGGGCTGAACATAGTTCATTGTACCAGTATATCACCTGACGAAGCTACTGATGTGTTCAAGAATTTTGTGGAAATCTTATCGGTTTTGAAGTTTTTACTTTGTATGTAATCATTGGTAAAAGACTTCACATATTCAAAACTATAGCAACTATTGACGACTTAGTAACCATTCTTGTAATCTGGATCTGAATGCACTAGCAGTTGAGTACTTAATTCTTGATGGTAGTTCATTATAAATTTTGATAATACTGTAACTGTATGAGCGTTGAAAGTGAGTACTTTTATGTAGAGGTACTGTTGAGGTTCCTTTAGACCTGATATTGAGGTTATGAACATCTGTACGTAATTTCAGTATCTCATGAAAATACGGTGGAGATTTGTCGGTTATTTTTTTTTCGAATAAATATGCATATATCTTCGGTTCCTCATTTTCAGCCATTTTATGAGTTTGAATAGTTGACTGATGTGACCATACTTTTGCATGCTAAATTTTAATATACAGTTGTTCCCCACGAAATATATTTTCATTCACAAGTAAACTCTATCGCAATTCGTAAATAATTAATTTGATAAACGCAAATGAGGTCGACGAAAAAAATTTGTATAGCTTACGTGTATCCAAGCAGCCATTCGAAGTTGTCAAGTAAGGACCAAGCAGTGTAAGCTATCACATTTACACCATCATAATGAATGGCGTCCAAAGTGGCACTCATGTAATCCTGGAATGAGAAGGACATTATGTACTGTACTATACAATGAATCGTATAAAATGATTCCATTGTGAAATACAGTTTGTTTGCCAGTGTTCGACTTGAATGTATTTGCTATCAAGTGATTCAATTGTCTAGTCCCATAATTATGAACTGTATTCACTTCATTAAAAGTTTAATTCTATATTATCAATTTATTCCTGGGAGAATGAATAAAACAACATATTTTATAAAACGAAATCAGGTTCCGAAAATATCTAGGTTTGAATGAATTTACCCTTGGTTCTAGAGAATGTAGATGAAAAATTCATACAATTGATTTATTTTGTAATTTTATTAGTGGCTCTAGGCGTGAAATATTTGTACTCCACCAAATAGAAATTATATATTGCAAATTTGAATAAATGAGGCAATAGTAAATACATTTCAAGTATTTCATGGAAATGATATTTCGGATTTTGAATGAAATGAATATGATGGGATTTATTTTATTTCACAAATGGTCTATATGTTTACACCATAATGATTTTTCATCAATATAGAGACCTAAAATTTTTGTCAATGTCCTAGGGATATTGTAGCTGGGGATGAACTCACGTGGTAAAATAGTATCCTATCGTAATCCTTCAGAGACGATCCAGTATCACCTACGCCATTTTCGGATATGAAAATCGGTGGATTGTTGTAGTTGTCTTTTATCCATTTCATCATCTTTCTTGCACCCCATGCCACAATCTGAAAAACAAATTATATCACATTTACCTACATCATGAAAACACCTAAGTATATCAAAATGACCCCTATATAGGTAAACATGATATCACGCATTCTTAACTAATATTGAAAATACCACAAAAAAAAGTAAAATTCGGTGTATTTTAGTTTCTTATCAAGCCGATTATTATATGACTTGCTGACCCCACTTGAATATTCATCAACACACTATTTCTTCTTCTCAGTTTCGCCTTTTATAAAAGCCATATCGGATCCACCATCTTGAATTTCCTCATTTTGACGAAGGAATCATTATTGCTGATCCCGAAAATCTCTTGATACCAATTTTGAATCGAATCGGATTGAAATTACAAAAATCTTCCGCCAAATCAGTTCCACCATCTTGAATTTTCAAATTTTCACCAAGGAATCATCATCTCTGACCCCGAAAACCCCCAGATACCGATTTTGAATAGAATCCCAAGTTGCACACAAATATTGGGACGATATCGGTGCAATATTACGAAAATATCGGCAAATTATTGTGAACGTAATATTGGCGAGAAACAAAATGTGAATATTTTGCGATATTGATACCAAAATGTTGGATGAATATCGAGAATCAGCATGTTGCAAAGTCATCTCAAAAAAATTGGTGAAATATTGTCACACCAATAATGGATGTATATTTGTAGTGATATTGGTCATAAAACATCGAATTAATATTGGCAAGAAATGAAAAGTGAACATTCGACAATATTTCTGCAATATTAGTTGATGGCAGTAGAGGCGAAGGGGATGAAAGGAGCCAGATGATTTTACGTTCTCTTTTTATGTTCTGGTTCCCACGAAGAGGGATATCCTGTAATATTGAGAGAACATCGTGAGAACCAATGGAAATAAGGTAGGAATTGGTGTTCTTCTCAAATTTCTGGGGGTTACATGCTTCGTGAAACACCTCCCTCGGCAATGTGTTCCAGAGCCTCACTGTTCGTTGGATGAACGAGTCTTTGGAAAGAGATGTTCTGCAGGTCTCCAAAGTGACCACGAAGGGGTGCGAAGTCTCAACTCGACGGGTTAATCTCGCGGAGACTGCCAAGGGAGGAACAATTATTGATATTTCAGAAGAGCATCGTCCATGGAAATATCTATAAAATAGAGCCAGATCGCCAACTTTTTTACGGTGTTCTAGAGGAGTGAGTGAAATTGTGAGCGAGGCATCACCCACGAGACGAATTGCCCTTTTTTTGGACAGAATCCAACAGTTTCAGGGTATGTTTGGGTGCTGCACTCCAAATATGGAAACAGTATTCCAGGACAGGTCGGATCTGTGCCTTATAGATCAAAAGCAGCTGACTGGAAGTGCAATAGCTCCTGGCCCGAAACAGGAAACCAAATTTTTAGGATGAACTTTCAGCAGTTTATCTCATGTGATTGTCACAAGAAAGGTTATTGCTGATAGTAATACCAAGAATCAAAATGGATGTCTTCAAAGGTATGGTTACTCCTGACAAGCTTATGTTGGGCACAGTGAGATCGGCTTTTCTAGAGAAGAGGCATGCTTGTGTTTTGTTTGCATTGAAATCTACCAAGTTATTGGATCCCCATTCCAGAATTGTTGCCAAGTCCATATTCAAGTTGTCAACATTTCTCTCTCGTTCGTTTCTGATTTGCCTGGCTGGTATTGGAGCTCTGGAAGAGAAGGCGTTATGGAGGGTACTATCATCCACAAAGCTGTGTACTGGACATGAAGTTGCTTCCAACAAATCGTTGATATGGAGCAGAAATAGTGTTGGTGCTAGAATTGATCCTTGCGGAACACCAGCATTCATGATAAGAGAGTCAGATGAAACTGCGTCGACCACTACATGGAGAGACCTGGTTGAGAGAAAACTAGCTAGCAGAGAAGATAGCTGTGGAGGCAAGTCATAAGATGGAAGCTTGGCGAGGAGTCCGTGGTGCCAGTCTCGATCGAATGCCTTGGAGATATCAAGTGCCACGACTAAGGTTTGACCATATTTTCCAATAGATTGCTGCCATATATGTGAGACGTTAGCGAGCAGGTCACCAGTTGATCTCTGATGACGGAAGCCATATTGCCTACCGTTGATAATACCTGAATGTTCCAGGTATTTCATGAGCTCGATGTTGATAGCCTCCTCCATGATCTTTGGAATGATAGATAGCAGTGCGATCGGTCTGTAGTTGCTAAAACATGTGAAAACATGTCCCTCTCACAATTATTATTCTTCATCTGTCTCGGCGATTTTCCGAGAACCGTCTACTAAACAAGATATTGCGGGTCGGTAGTTCTTTATGATCACCCGTTGGATTGGTACAGATAGATAGATTATTGTTCTTTGACCTTTGGTTCTATGTTTCAACGTGTTTGCACAATATCTTTCCCGTGGCAGTCATAACAATTCAATTCATAAAATCCAGACTTATTTTTATAGGAACAACTGATATCAGATGACGAAAAATATAATCTTAGTTGTAAATCAGTGCGATATCCAAAACCCTCATCACTTAGAAAGGGATTTCCACAATCAACAAATCTCTCGTTGATTAATTGCTCTTCAATAGACGATATAGTGAGACAAATGAAGTACATATTGAATTAATTTTTGTTCTCACGATTATTATTTCAATGCTTGATTTTTATCTCTATATCTGGGTCTGCGGAAGCACTTCGAACACGGATCATGAAAAAACGCTGGAACACGCCAACTACATTTTCAAGGGGGCCATCATTATAAAATATTTTCAGCGCTGCGGCGATGCCGCTTCCATCGAAAAGTAGCAACAACTTTGGTCTTCCAAATAGAATTCCCTGTATTGCTTTGTAATTTTAAATTCTCGCAGAAGAGCTGATTCCATCACACTCGGGGTCTATCGGGAATGATTACAGAGATATAGGGTGTTCAAAATCAAGATTCTTGATATTTAGGATTCTTTTGTGTCGAAACTATGCATTATTGATCAAGACGGCTCTCATGTCTCTATCCCAACTTTCAATTCACTATCTACTGATATTCAATTGGAACATATACTGGGTGATCAGAATTCTCAATCTTGAACCAACCTGTTTTTTTTTTCAATTGAATGTCAGTAGATAGTGAATCGGATGTTAAGATAGGGTCATGTGAGCCATTTTGACCAATAATGAGTTCTTTCGAGACAAGAAACAAAAAATCCAAGATTTGAAAAATATCATGTCAAGAACACAACAAGAATACAGTTGAAAGAAACAATTTTGAGAGTGAATATTCCACTCAAGACCCAAGCTAGTGTCAATATCATCAATTTAGAGTGAAATTCCATAACATAGTCACATAAGTTTAGAGTTGTGATATAATAGTAGAGAGTGGACTCCACACTATAAACAGTGTCGGATCCACCGGAAATTGATTGAATTATTCACTCTACGTGGATGTCAAATTGCTCCTGCATTGTTCAAATTGGCACTACTATTTGTTCAGGTGCTAATAAGGAGTTATCATTTATTCATCATTTTAGATTGATATAGAACACTAGTTGAGTAAACTAGTCACTACTTCCTGTTGAGACTTCATCCAAGTTATATTAACCATTCTTTCACATGTCACAGTATTTATAGGCCAACGACAGACGTTCAGCGGCGAAGTCTCCGCAGCGCCACCTTTATGCAGTGACGAGAATTGACGGATGAGAAGTAGTGTGACTTTATAATATTTCAATCGTTTGATATTTGAAAAATGACTCGAGTCCCACTGGACTAATTAGTTAACCTATATCTGTTTCATAAATCGTTCGGAATAATAATTCGAAACGGAAAAAACGGAAAATAACTGAGATAGGTATATACAGAAAAACGTTCATAATTCAATGTTGAAAAAAAATTCTCACTACGCGGGTATAGTACAGAAGCTACTTGAAGCTAATATCATGATCATTATATTATCGACACTATAATCTGTATTACTTATTTCACTATCTAGTAGACTGAACGATCTGAAACTGTATAGATTGATATTTCATCGTATATAGATTGAATTGAACAATGATAGAGTGTAAATTTAATCGACAAGAGAGGAATGTTCAAGTTCACTAGTGTTGAGTTATCTGAATTGATATTTTATTGATGAAATTTCAGGAGTATAGAGTGAATTCAATACGAGAATAGTGAAAGTTCAATCTAGAATTAGTTTCAAAGGAGATATTCTGCGAGAAGTGTAGTAATAGAGTTGATTGCAGTATTAGAGTGAGTTTGTCAGAGTATTTTAACTCTAAAATCATACTCTAGGGATTTCACTCGAAGCGGTTTTTTTTATGTAGCATACTTCGTGCGATGAACAAGCACTTTTATCACTTGCGTCATAAAGGACTATTATCACACTCACCGTGTTACCGTTCGGAGCTACATTCCAATCGGGATCATTGCTTATTATCGCCCTGATGTCGTTCTGGTAGCTGGGCACTGGATAAGCTCCCTCCACTGTATCTGACACCAAATGGGTCCAGTACGTGTTGAAACCCATAAAGTCCCATGTGCCGTTGATGTTATCGATTTCTTCTTGGGTGAATGCAGGCAGACGGGATCTGGTCAGGTTTTCTGCGGCGCTGGCTTGGGCCACCCTGTCGATTACTACTTGGGGCCAGTTGCCGTTGAAAATGGGATTGGCGTACAAACCATACTGGAAGAATGAAAATGCAGTTCAGGAGGTTGCCCATATATTATATGTACAGGGTCTTTTTTATGTTCTGGTTTCCACCAAATGGGATATCCTGTAATGTTCAGAGAATATCGTGAGAACCAAGGAAAATAAGGTACGAATTGGTGTTCTTCTCAAATGAGGTTGAATGCCTCAAGGAATACCTTCTTTGGCAATGTGTTCCAGAGATGTTCGTTGGATGAACGAGTCTTTGGAAAGATATGTTCTGCAGATCTCCAAAGTGACCACGAAGGTGTGCGAAGCCTCAACTCGATGGGTTTATCTCGCGGGGACTGCCAAGGGAGGAACAATGGGGAAGACCACTGAGGGAAGAAATCCGTGCAAACCTCTTTATATCGACGAATCATGATTTACGTTTGATGTACAATCAATATTATGAGTTAAAGTTGAAGGGAATCGAATCTATATCGTTTTGAAATCAGCATATTTCATTCGAAGTTTGAAACAGCCAAATATGATGGTGGAGTCGTGACGTATTAGTCCCGAACTAAGCTTTCTCTCTCTGATACCTCGTTATTCTGCAGTGTTGCAGTGTGATTGGTCAGTTCAAGGACAATAGGCGTGTTGGGAATAAGACGTCGCACCAGTCATACCAATGAATTGACAAAATTTCAAATGGCGCAGGAATTGTGTGTTTTGAAATGGACATATTCTAATTTATTATTTTCATCGACTTAGCATGAATGACGAAATTCAAAATCAATTCGCTGTTAGTTTTTTAGTATAGAGTTCACGATAATGTCATTTTAAAAAATCAGTGGTCTCCCCCATTGTTGATATTTCAGAAGAGCAGTGAGTGAATTTGTGAGCGAGGCATCACCCACGACACGAATTGCCCTCTTTTGGACAGAATACAACAGTTTCAGGGTATGTTCGAGGACAGGTCGGATCTATGACTTATAGATCATGAACAGCTGACTGGAAGTGAAATAGCTCCTGGCCCGAAACAGAAAACCAAGTTTTTGGGATGCACTTTCAGTAATTGATCTCACGTGATTTTCCCAAGAAAGGTTATTGCTGATAGTAATACCAAGGTAACACGTTTCTGGAGATTTGTAGGAACGGTTCAGGAAACTGTTCGATACCCAAAACACATGAATCCGGAGATGTTTGATAAATAGTTCTTATTTCTGCACTAACTGATGCCCGTAATTTCGGATTTTTCTTGTAGGCCATGCAAAATATCTATCGACGAATGAATGGAGATTAATTTTCTATAAAAGTGCAAAATATGGCTTGTGTTTGGGGTATAAGTGATTCAAACCAACTGTAATTAATTTGTTGACTCGTATCTTGCACAACCTACTAGAAACATTCAAAATTTTAGGCAGTTATTATGGAGGATTAAGTACTATTCAATCTAATTATGGAATATCTCCTAAATTATATTGGTTTTGAGTATAGGAAAGTTCTTCAGAACTTGGACCCATTTTTATTATAGAATTGGGTTATCAGAAGAAAAAATGGGTCTTCGAAAAAATGCATTCGTTGATAAAATCATATATATATCATGGTAGCAAAAGTGCATTTCCTCCCAGGTGTGTTTAATGCACTCCGCTACGCGTCGTGCATCAAACTTCACACGCGGGAGGAAATAGATACTTTTGCTCCCTTGATATATAAATAGCTATCATATGCTTACCTCGAATTGATTCCTCCTTTCCGCTGCTTCAATATCTCTCGTACTGTTAGTAGCTGGTTCATTCCATTCACCGTCTATGACGATGGACATTGGTGCTGAAAATAGAGTTGATGATAGGAATATACAATGTGCTCGAACTAACACTGGAGAAACGTTATGAAATTCAAATCAACAACTCCAGCCGACCAGTCGTAATTAATATAAATAATATTTATTTTGTCGTTTATAAACAGTTGATATGTAGAGCAGATGATCAAACAAATACGCTAACGATACCAGAATTGAGTCACTAAATTAACAATAAAATATTTTTTAGTTCCACAAAATCATGTTCAAATTATTGCTCCAATAATATCTTCAAATAAGTGTCTTGGGAATGAATATAGAAGATTGATTGATATCTGATTATATTTGATTCGGAATTGGACAGATAAAAATCACTAACTGCACTTTTTTGACATATAAGTTTTGCATCAGGGTTACAATGATATTTTGATTCAATGTTTTGAATAGAAACGAAGAAATTCTTGTTCAAATATCTAACAGAGACCTACTTTCCTGACAAATACCACAGAATTTTCAATTGTATCTGTCAAAAACAGATGAAATTAAATATTATGTGGCAGAAGTCAGGAAAGTATTTGTTTCATTTCGTTGAACATTAGGTATGATTTTCTTATTCCTTAAAAAAACTTACTCCCAACCATGCCGTTATAAAATGAACATTTCATTGTGTATACCTATTAGGGGACATCACCTAACACGTCATAATATGAAGAATCAAAATATAATCTGAAAAAATTGAATTCATCAGAATGGTAATCCGTAAGAAACGTATTTTTCAGGAAGTTGTATTCTGTAGGCACATCTTTCATCGCAATGTGGAACATAAAACCGTGATTTGTAGGAGTCTATAATAACAAAACATAAGTTGTCAATATGTGATCCATCATAATGGTGTCAATAAGAGCCGTATTCGATCAAAACACTAATTTTCAGAACAGTATTCCATCATGACGGTTATTCACTATCCTCCCTAGGAACGCACGATGTTCTTTGAAAACTATAGGGATTCCCTTTCGTGGGCTCCAAGCGATAAAAAAAATCTCATTCTTTCAAGAGGGTGAACTATCAGAACCCTATTATATAAAGATGATGGTAATCCAACAAAATATTATTCCATAGCAACGTTAGATCATCAGAATCGTATTTTATCAAGACCTCATTGTGTAGGAAACTTTGTTACCGAGTCAGTAATCTATCAGAACAGTGAGTCGACGTAAAACATCATCATTACATTTCATCAGGATCCTATAAAGTACATGCATTCGTTTAACTAAATGATTGATTACATTATGATTTTTACATTCTGTTGAATGACTGCTTCGTTAAAATACGGTCTAGCAGGATTACCATTTTGATCAAATATATGCTGGCACAATACGGTTTTGATGAAATACTTTATGACGAATTATATACAGCATTTATTATAATATCGACACATAAAACTAAACGAGCGGAGAGAATAGTATTCTGTAATATGTCAGCACTCACCTGTGTAATGAGGAAATTCCTGCTTGTACATTCGGTAAGTGGCGGCGTGACATTTGGCAACAACGTACGCGCACTGATACTCTCCGTAGCCGGTGTTTGCAACCCCTGGGGCTTGTGCCCCTTCGCCATAGCCCCTGGTGCATATCAATTTCGGCTCGTTGATGGTCATCCAGTACCTATATACAGGAATACGAGATGACCAAAGTTAACACGTTGACGTTTGTATATGGGCAAACTGAGGCTCTTCGTTTTTCTGCCACAGTCCAAATCATATATTCATCGTTTTGTAGAAATATAAATCTTTGGTAGAAGTCCATATTGCTCAAAGTGGAGTGAAATATTTCAAAGGAAGGAATGACTGCTCGAAGTCATCTCCACAAATTTTAATGTTGTCGTTACCCTAATAACACAATCATGTCCCATGAATATCCATAGGACGCCCTGTCGGGACATTCAAAACGTCCATAGGACGTTCGAATTTGGTACCGTGAACGTCCATCGGACGTCTGTGGGACGCACAAATGTCCCACTTGAGGACTAACAAGAGACGTCCCTGAGGGATGTCTCTGGAACAACTATCGAATACCAAAATCCTACAGTATTCCTCACCAAGCACTACGGAGGACATCCTTAGGACATCCGTACGACAACCTATCAGCAACGCTGTGTGATATCAATTGGATGTCCATAGGATGTCCCACTGACGTACGAATCATTCTTGTATTTGAATTTGTCTGGGTCCCTCCAGGACCAGATCTTGTCCAATTGATGAGGACATCCAGCTGAGTTGATGGTCCGTAGAAGGTCCCCAATAGATCCAGAAATAGTTTCTCAAAGATGTCCAATGGACTCACGTGAAGGGCAATGACGGGGAGTATTCATAGCCTACGAGCAATCATTCGTCAGCGAGGTGTAAGTTAACGTCCTCGCAGGGACAACATATTGAAAGTACCGACTGGGACTTCCGTGGGACCTTATTTCTAGGACATTGGAAGAGTACAGTTCATGTACCAATTGGGACATCCCTCGGATATCCCTAAGGGACATTTTGATTGTCATACGATCCTGGAAATATCGAGGGCGTCTGTGCAGAAATATATGTACTACTCGGAACATTCGATGGATGTCCCTAAAGGGACGTTTGAAATCATATCCCATCAGGGACATGCCAAGGACGTCCTTGCATGGACATTGTACAATATGTACCACGTGAGTTATCTGAGGGTTGCTATTTCTAGGACATTTGAAATGATGTACCAGCTGGGACATTCCGTGGACGACCTTGTTCGGACATTGCATGAGATGTACGGGATGGGACGTCCCAAGGACACTTATTTCTGGTCCGAGACATTCGAACTTGAATTGTACCAAATAGGGACGTCCCTAGGACGTTGTGTGCTATTAGGGAATATATAATCTTAAGGGACATGTTTTGATCTTATAAAACTGGAAATTTTCGAAATTAGCTCTTTCTTGAATAATAATTCTGTCTTGTCTCTTGATGAACAAACACATTTTGACTGTATCAAATTTTTCAATGCTTTGGATTTTAATCGCTGTTAGTTCACCTACCTTGGTCTCAGCGTTTATTCTAGTTCATAGTCGATTGTTTTTTCAGGTTTGCTCAACTTTCCCCTTCATGCTTCCCTCCTCCTACATCTACAGTATTCCCAACAACATTTATAATCTCCAAAAGTTCAAAAAAAATTCCAGTACCTACCTCCTGCCCCTATCCTCCTTAGGAACGCACGATGTTCTTTGAACATTATAGGGATTCCCTTTCGTGCGCTCCAAGCGATAAAAAAAAAAAAGTAGTAGTTGTAGTAGGTATTCTTATATGTCTATGCTCATGGTCAGAGTTTCATGTTTTATCCCTTGACATTGACTTTGACTCATATCAACGTCATGCCTACATCATTAATTGACATTATTTTCAGTGTTTTCTAACCAAATCAGTCTAGATTTAAACACGTGCTGGCTGTTTGGCCCATCAATTTTGTCGATATTTTCCTCAAATAGCGCTTTCATAAACACACGGGCAACCCCTTTTATAGAAAATCCGTGAATTTGATTTCTCCACTTTTGACATCGACAACAATTCAACAAACAGTAAAATTTGTCAACTCCTAGTAGGTCAAGCACAAATTAGGTAATTGTTCCACTTCAACTTTCATTTTGTTTTTGTACTGTAGAACTTTTAATTAGGCTGAAGATGGTTTTATATAAGACCGAAACATGTCTCTCATGATAATGTAACAACACCATTAGAATTTGTGGAGATAGAGTCCGACCACGTTAACTTTGGGACAGCATGTGACGCAACGCATATGCATTATCAATGCATACGCGACCACGTGCTGTCCCAAAGTTATCGTGGTCGGACTCTAACTCCGAGCATTCTTTCCTTCCTTCCTTCGAAGTATTAGATAAGTTACAGGGCAGAAAATGTTGCTAATTTCTCTTCTGGTCCGCCCTTGATAGGAAATTAACGCACCTGACTTCCGGTAGAGCTGCGATGACTGCCCTAGCAAACTTGACGAAATAGGGCACCAAATCTGCGTTCATGAAGCCGCCCCTGTCTTCCAGAGGCTGCGGCATGTCCCAGTGATAGATGGTGACCACGGGCATCACCTTGCGTCTCAGGCATTCCGCCACCACTTTTTTGTAGTAGGCGATGCCTTTTAGGTTCGGCACGGATTCGAATCCTGTGGGGAACAGCCTGGAAGAATAACAAAATCATGAAAAAAAAAAAGGTTGCCAGTCTTTCATTTCTAAATGGCGACTCTTCAGGGAGAATCTGGAAATGGAATGATGAAGTTGTTGCTACTTTTCAATATAAGCGGCAACGTCGCAACGCTAAGAATATTTTAGGTCGATAGAATGCAACCAATTATCCAAGGCACTAACTTCACAGAATATTCCTGAGTTGCCTCCTCCAGAAACGTTCGATGTGCCATCCAGCGTGAATCAGCCTGTATACAGTCTGTCCAAGATAAGGTTGAACAGCATGGGGATCTCGGAAACGGTAGGAGATACGAAGTCGCTTAAATGGGGAAAAAGTTGCGCATTCGGAGGCTCTTGAAAATTATTTTTAGTTTTTGAGTTATATCGAAAAAAGTGAGCCTTTGAAAATTATTTTTAGTTTTTGAGTTATATCGAAAAAAGTGAATTTTTGGAATTTCTATTTTTTTTTTCCGTTATTATCAGAGATACAGAAAAACTGAAAATACTTTTTCATTGCAACTTTTGATGAAGTTTAACGTGGTGATACCGATTTTTTTATGCGACGTTTCGTATTCGTGGAACCATCATCAACTTTTGTTTTTTAAATACGGTCCTGATAATTTTTTCACAGATTCTGAAAGGGTTTTTTTATTCTGAATTCAACAATGTAAAATACAAGGTGATTCGAATGTGTTTCGACCTATTTATATCCATCATCAATGTTTTTTCGAACTTCCAAAAGAAAAAAAAGCCATCAGTTCCACTTATTTCTTATCATTTAGTGTCAAACTTGATGGATTAGTTATTCAATACTGAGAAGTGAATAAAAAATATTTCACTACATCATTCGATCAATGCAGCGTTTGAAATTGTTGATGAATTCTTACACGAATTACTTTAACAACTTAACTTTGACAATACCTACAGAGACATTCATAACAAATGTTCAGAATGATAACCATTATTTTCTGAACAAAGATATCCTCTTCTCACAGTTGTTTCTAAGTCATTGCTAAGCATTTCTGGGGTTATTCTATGGAATGCTTCGAAGACACTGTCCCTTAGTTCTTCTTCATCCTCAAAGTTATTTGCGTGTACAAACTTCGATATATCCCCTAGGAAAAAATCCAGCTGTGTCAAATCAGGCGACCGCGCCGGCCAAGGGATAAAAACGCACGGGCTTCTCTGGAATTATGTACCGGAGCGCCATCTTGTTGAAACCAACAGAGTTCTGAACTTCCGCAATCGGTAAATCATCCAGAGCTTCCTCAAGATGATTCTCAAGCGAATTTCTATAACGTTCGGAAGTCTGTGTTTCATGGTAAATAGAAGGAACAATAATTCGTGTACCAAATATTGCAACCCACATATTAAAGCCGAAACGGTGTTGGTGTCTCGCTGTAATGTATAAATGTTCATTTTCTCGTGAACAATAATGTGTATTTTTTCTATCGAAGCTACCATGATTAGTGACCATGCTTTCATCAGTCCAGATGATTGTTCGAAAGAAATCTGCAAAATTTTAACATTTCCTGGTATACCACTCACAGAATGTCTTGCGCCTTTCGTCATCGACTGGTTTTAGCGCTTGACATATTCTGAATTTGTATGGATGGAATTTTTGTTTCCGCAAAATGAAATGGGTTGTTGATTGAAACCAGTTGATGAGGTATTAGTGTGTTGACTAATTTTCCTTCAAAATAAGTGGAACTGATGGCATTTTTCCTTTGGAGTTTCGAAAAAAACATTGATGATGGCAAAAAATAGGTCGAAACACAAATGAACCACCTTGTATAATACATGGTTGAATTCAAAATAAAAAAACCTTTTAGAATCTGTGAAAAAATTATCAGGACCGTATTTAAAAAACAAAAGTTGATGATGGTTCCACGAATACGAAACGTCGCATGAAAAAATCGGTATCACCACGTTGACCGTCATCAAAAGTTGCTATGAAGAAGTATTCTCAGTTTTGCTGTATCTCTAATAATAACGGAGAAAAAAAATAAAATAGAAATTCCAAAAATTCACTTTTTTCGATATAACTCAAAAACTAAAAATAATTTTCAAAATTTTCGAAGGCTCTTGATAAGAGCCTCCGAATGCACAACTTTTTCCCCATTTAACCGATTTCGTATCTCTTACCGTTTTCGAGATCCCCATGCTGTTCAACCTTATCTTGGACAGACTGTATACAGGGTGATTCATTGAAAATCTCTGAACTACAGATAGTGAACACAAGAATAATGAAATTTTGCTCAATATGCCTGATGAGAATGTTGCTAGTTTAGGAGATACAGGGTGTTCTAGGGGGAGATTTTATTTCAAAATTTCACAATAACTTTGTTAGTTTCAACAGCATGAACATAAAATCTTGTATTTCTAGGTTTTATGACACGAGGAATATGAATTTGCAACTTATTTTTGAATGAATAAAATTATCAAAATGTCATAAGTGGAAAATGAATCTCTTCAAGAGCGAATAACACATAACCGTTGAAGCTAGACAGTTTGATGAAGTGTACATTTTTCATTTGCAATTGAACGAGCTTCCAGATTTTCCATTCATTTTGATCATAAATGAATTGACATAGAAGATATGATGTAAATTATCGAAGTAACAAAGTGCCACTAGCGCCCTTTATGAGCAATCACAAAATGAATTGCAGATTCATATTCCTCATGTCAGAAAACCTAGAAATACAAGATTTCATGTTCATGCTGTTAAAACTAGCAAAGTTATTGTGAAATTTTGAAATATAATCTTTTTCTGGAACACCCTGTATCTCCTAACCCAGCAACATTCTCATCAGGCATATTGGGCTGAATCTCATTATGTCTGTGTTTACTATATGTAGCTCAGAGATTTTTCATTCTTAATGAATCACCCTGTATAAGTAGATTGTTAGAACAACCATTGTCGATCTAAATGGGAACCTGGTAGGCGACCTAGTGCGAGGAGGTATATTATAGCTCCTGCCTACTAACTACCTAACTAGGTTGTCATCTAGAACGACAATGGAACAACTATATTATACGAACATCATAGGAATTCCCTTTGGTGAGCTCCACGAGATTGAATCAAATTTGCAACATCGGTAAATCTCTATGTGGTTCAGTGATTTTCCACTGACAAATGGCTATATGTTGATTCATACCCCCATTTGCATATTTCACTGGATAGTGGCAAAACTTCGATGGATTTTAGTACCTACATAACTTTTCAGCGGTACCTAATTCCGATTAGAATGGAACTTTGGTCACCCTCATACTGGACTAGTTTGAATGACTTCAAATGACAACTCCTACATAGAACAGCAGTTAATATCGAATCTTTCGTTAGTGGATTGAAAAAGAAATTGCGTGCCTCCACCAAAATTTGAAAAAAATATTCATTTCGCAGCGATTAATCAATGTTGCCATCATTTGGATTGTTATGATCAAATCAATCTTGACCCGAAATATAATATTCCGATTCGATGAATATTTGTGTAGTGGCTACTTTGAGGAAGCAGTGGAAGCACTTTGTGTGTCATCGAAAGACATGCACAACATAAACTCTTCAATTTTTGGTGAAGGCTCTTATTTATGTATTTCATCATCCGTTGTATGAATTTTTGTCTATTTTACACATGTATCACAAAATTGCACTCTCCTTGATCCTGAGCTTTTGAAAAAATAGTCGAGATGACAAAAAGTATTTCGCGCCCGAGTTGCAAACAACATGTTTTCTACCAACGTCAAAAAATATAGTTCTAAAGTAAAAATATGCTTGGTTTGCTATGAAATATAGTGTTGAACTGGCCCTAAAGGCCTCCCCCTATCCTCCCTAGGTACGCACGATGTTCCACGAACATAATAGGAATTTCCTTCCGTGCGCTCCAAGTGATGAAACAAAGTTATTGTTGAACACTCAGAAATAAATGATTTCGTGGATGTTTGCTCGATTGAGGACCATAAAGGTGAAATATAAATATCTCATATATTTTACATGATAATGCGCGAAGTAGGTACTTCGCGCACTGTTTTACTTCGCGCACTGTTTTACTTCGCGCATTTTTTTGTGCAAGGTATGGTAACGTAGGAAAGTGAAAACAAGTGTCACTTCGCAATTTGTTATCAATGCAGGAACCTTGTCGTTTTTTGACATTTGTAGAGAATAGTTATTTTTGTTTCTAGTGCGCGAAATGCACTTTTGATGATCGAGAAGTGATTTTTATCAACGAGTCGCAGCCCAGTTACAAAAATAGTTGAGATTACGCGCACGAGTAACAAACTGAATCTTTTCTACAAACGTAGAGAATTATATAGTTCTCAATGATAAAATGAGTTATTATACACGGTGTTTCAAAAAAACCTCAGTAAAACAATTTCGTAACGGCATCCGTTATCAAGATATACAAGGTGTTGAAAAAAATTTGTTTACACATTTTTCAAGATCATGTCGAAACTACTGGCAACATTGTGATGGAATTTTGTATGGATGTCTCTTGGAATCTGACACATCGCATGCATTTGTTTTGTTATCTGACTCTCATAGAGGGCGCTAGTTACACGGTTCGTACCGAGTACTTTTGAGCATAACTTTTTTGAGGTGAGATTTTTCAATCCAAATTTGATGTGAACTTGAACATCATTCAATTCCACACCAAAAAGGTACTCCTGGTAAAATTCGATACTGTGTTCCGTTCTTGAAATATTTCGATTTGAAATCGATGAAGTGATAACTGTTGCTGGTAGCTATGTATCAAAGTGAGTATTATGAAAAATTATCACCTATTCATTGAAAACCGAAAACAACAATTTAATTCTGATGCTAAACTGATTGATTCAACAATGAATCACAAGAATAGCATCGAAACAGATTTGACTAAGAACATGGATTACACAGTTTTGTTGTATATTGAGCAGAAACTCTATGCTACATAGGTAAATTAACGTCAAGAGTTGTAAGACATAATTGAACATCACTTAAATGACCTAACAGCTGATCTCCAACTGTTAAGAAGAATAATACATTCTTGAAAAAAGAATATAGAATCGTGTATTCGTCGAAACGTAGGATATTTTAAACACTTAGTCTAAATGATTCAATATTTCATGTTTCTAGTCAAATATCTCATAATTTCCTACTTATGATTCTTTGTTCCATCAATAACTTCAGCACAAGAATAATTTTATTGTTTATGAATCTGAATAAATAGGTTATTGAACTCAATAAAATTAATTTCATACCAGCATCATAACTACTCCATTTTTTTCAAATCGAAATATTCCGAAAACGGAACATAGTATCATAGTAACATAGTTACGAACATAGTATCATAGTAACATAGTTACGAACATAGTAAACATCTATACAAAATTGCATTACAACGTTGCCAGTAGTTTCGACATAATCGTGAAAAATGTGTAAAAAAATCATTTTTTCATCATGAAAACGGATGCCGTTACGACATGTTTTCACTGAGCAAACCCAACTTATTTTGCAGTATCCTACCCACCTTAGCAAGGGGGTCAGGTTTTTCTGAAACACCCTGTATATGCCTACCTTGGCCAAGAGATGGAGAACCTGTAGTGCGTCATACCCATATCAGCCACCAATTTGATATCCTCCTTGTACTTGTGATAGGAATCGCAAGCCACATCACCGTTGGTATGGTCCTTGATTCTGTCAGGGTGAGAATGGGTGAAGTTGTCCCAGATGCTTATACCCTTGCCGTCGACATTCCAAGCGCCCTCTATCTGTATAATACAAAAGCTTCAAGACTCCGTCGACTTACAATAAAAATATCAAACTTTTTGGAACTCGAATGATATTTTCTGAAATACAAATGACACTTTCTGAAATTGAATGGGCGAGTCGACTGTTAATGATGAGGATCACTTGAAACATACCTGTACCGATTTTCATCATCATAAAACACAGGGTGTCCGAATAAAAGAATTATTCTTTTTTCCAAATAGGTGATCAGAAAATGTTGTACTGTAGTATTTGTGGAAAGAACTAATGACAAATTATCAGTGAGAACTACTTAATAATAATAATAATAATAATAATACTGTATTTTCCAATAAGACAATATTACAAATTGTATAGGAAATTGTCAGAACATAGAACAGAAAAAAAAATAGAAAATATGTAGAAAAGACGATTAAAAGATCAAGACCTATGTCTAGCCTAAAAATTCTGTCAGCGAATAATAACATTTTTGCATCAAAAAACTGTTTAGCGTCTTTTCGAAAAGAGCAAGATGCTCTGCATTCTTTATGTGGTCAGGAAGTTTATTGAAAATTCTTCTTCCGATGTGCTCAGGTGATCTGGAGGTTACTCTTAGTCTAGCAAATGGTACATGAAATTGATCTCTAATCCTGGTGTTATAGTGATGAACATTTTTATTCACTTCAAAAACTGACCTGTTTTTATATATATACAGACATATTTCTGACATATATATATAGATACTAACCTTAGCACATTGAAATCTATAAAGAGTGGTTTACAAGATTCTGTGGCCGAGACCTTCGCAATACATCGCAATATGCGTTTTTTGGCAATGAATACATCTTGCGCCATGCTTGATCTACCCCAAAAACAGACACCATACCTAAGTCTGGACTCTACCTGGGAGTAATAAATATTCAGCAGCTGAGTTCTATTCAAAACCGAGCGCAAATTCATAAAAAGAAACTTCAGGGAATTAAGCTTGGAAATTAAGTACTTCAAACATATATGTACCTACCAGTTTTCATCATTCGAATAAACTAAGTAAGTGACTAACAAGTCAGGTTAGACGTCGTTTTCGAATCATAAACAGATTTCGATAGTTTCGATGCCGCATCTAACGCGAATGTGGATGACAACTTTGTTCTCGTTGATGACAATGCAAGACCGCTTAGGGTTGTTGGTACATCATTTATGATGAGCCTTAGCTGGTCGGGTTTGTCAGTCCATTGTGATTCTTGTAACGTTGGTTACGGGCCATGCATTACAGAAGAGAAATGGTCTGATGTTTTTGCAAGAACATGTTTCAATTGTGTTTTCTCACGCACAATTCTTGACTACTGATAGCGAGGAAAATATGGACGCATCCAGAATGAATTGTTTTTCCGAGAACAAGTTGATTTTCATTCAATTCTCCTCCCAACCGGGATTCGGAGGGCGTAACAGATTTGGGTCACTTTCAAGAAAACTCTAGATCTCTGATAGCCATCTTGAGTCAATTCTGATATTCAGATCTCTTCATCTGAAGTTTTACCTTCAAAATGAGCCTAAGATTTCTAAAGTCGGTTGACGTGGAAAAAAGTTATGGCTGCAAAACCAAAAAGTTGATTTTTTGAGATCACTCTGTAAATAAGAGAGATAGGAAGTTGATTCGCGGAACATCTCGAAGTAATGAGATCATCTTCATGCCTCTGTTGTCGAAGTTGAGAAAAAAAAAATGTTCACCATTTGAGAGCCTTTTGAATATTCCGAAATTTTGCACAGTGTCGGAAAACACCATGTAGAGATTTTATGTGAATACCCTTATGTTTCAATGAAGTACGGGATTATAGCTGAAGGACTGGGCTATCGAACAGTGTGAACCAAATTCAAATTGTTCTGAACTGAAAAAAGTTATTCACATTATAACAGGGGCTACATTTTGGTGTGCGACGAAATTAGTGTTGAGTAGTTTATACAGAGTGGGCCTTTGAAAACGAAACAGAGGCTCTGTAGGTCGCCAAAACCGGATTATCAAAAAAACTGAAACAGGTCAACTACATTTTCGAGGGGGACATCTTTCTAAAATAATTTCAGCCCTGCGGCGTTGCCGCTTCTAAAGAAAAGAAGCAACAACTTTGTTATTTCAAATGGAACACCTTGAATTTTATTGCATTTTTAGATTCTCCCCGAAGAGCTGATTCCATCAATGCATCACACTTAGGGTCTAGCTGTAATGGTTTCAGGGATATAAAGTGTTCAAAATCGAGATTTTTCAACTTTAACATTTCTTGTGTCGAAACTATTCATTAGTCAAAACGGCTCTCATGTCCCGATCTCAACTTGTGATTAACTATCTACTGACATTTATTTGAAACAAATACAGGGTGGTTCAAGATTCAGAATTCTGATCACCCTGTATCTGTTCCAATTAAATGTCAGTAGATAGTAAATCACAAGTTGATATAGAGACATGAGAGCCGTTTCGACCAATAATGAATAGTTTCGACACAAAAAAATGTCAAAGTTGAAAAATCTCGATTTTGAACACTTTATATCCCTGAAACCATTACAGCTAGACCCCAAGTGTGATGCATTGATGAAATCAGCTCTTCGGGGAGAATCTAAAAATGCAATGAAATACAAGGTGTTCCATTTGAAATAACAAAGTTGTTGCTTCTTTTCGTTAGCAGCGGCAACGCCGCAGGGCTGAAAATATTGTAGGACGATGTCCCCCTCGAAAACGTAGTTGACGTGTTTCAGATTCTTTTCATAATCCGGTTTTGGCGACCTACAGAGCCTCTGTTTCGTTTTCAAAGGCCCACTCTGTATAGAATGTGTCTGAGAAAAAGAATTGAAAATGATTACTAAGCAATATTTTTGATCATGATAATTCTCCACCCACAGAATAAATATGAATCAGGATCACTTGAAACATACCTGTACCAATTGACATCATCAATCAACACAGGGTGTCGAAAAATCAAATTATTCTTTATTTCTAATTGATAAAAAAATATTGCTCAATCATTCAATTTGATTTTTTTTTCATACACAAAGTTGAAGTTTCGCACGATTGTAAAAAAAAGTTTTCTATTCTATTATTGTACCTGGTATGCCGCTGTGGCAGCGCCGATGAGGAACCCATCGGGGAAGTTCCTGAGCATGTACGGATGGTAGGGGTCCTTCTTGGGGTGTCTGTGGGGCTTTTTGGGATGTCTGGGGTGGTGTCGCAGGTTGGAGCTCTCGAAATCATCGAAATCTTCGTCGGTATCGAGGAAATTAGTGAGGTCGTCAGAAGATTCGTCGGAGTTTGAGGTGGCGTCGGAGCGGTCAGGATGCTGAGGGTCGCCTCTCGAACTGGAAAAAAGTGTTATACAAATAATAATCATAACAGGAAAGATTTGATAGTTTGTTTGTTAGCTTGTTTGTATTGAATAGGATCCGAAACTATACTTCACCGATTTGAAAAATTATTTTTTCTACAAGCGTGCGTGATTCACCCTACACCCGCAAGCAATGTAGTTTGGGAAGTGTCATTTTTCCGCAACAAAGCGGAAACAATTTTCCCACACTAGTGCGGGAAGATATGATAATATCGCAAAATATAAGTGGTCAGTGATGGAATATGAAAGTTGCAGTTTGTTTGTTGCAGTATTAAGTATGTATGTTCAGAATCATCCATCAAATTGCACCATTTATTGTGGAAATTAAGAAGTAATGAAACATAAAAATTGATTATCATCAAAATCCCCCTATATTTTTGGATTGACCTGATGGAAAACGATTTTTGTTGTCATGCCAATCAGACTTCAAATAAGTTTGTAGTTTCATTTTCGATTCAGTGCGGAATTGCCCCAATGTGATTGAAAACTTCCAGCTATATGGATGCGATACAGATGCGTTATATTACCAACGAAGTCTCAAGGAAGGTATGAGAAGCTATACACGCATTTTATCAATTGGTGCAACAATAAAGAAATGAAAATACCGAATAAAGAAGAAATACCTATTTTTGACTCATTTCCTAAAAGTGTCTGAATCCTAGAGACCAAACACCATATGGGCCTGATGGCTTCCGCAATGAACCTACATAATGCGTCAAACTGTAAGTTCACTATAGCTATTACTAATAATTAATAGATAGGGAATATATTTCTCTTGTTAGTTGTTCCTATATGTATGAATAATTAATTGAACAAATCAATCAATTTCCTACGCTTGTAGAAAAAATATTGTTCCTAACTCATGCAGAAAGTGTCTTTTCCGCACTCGATTGCTAGTCCGAACTCCGCTTCGCGTCGTTCGTGTCAACGGCAGTCGTGTGCGGGAAAGAATCATTTTCCGCACTTGTTAGGAAAATCACTCTTTTTTTCAAGCGTGCGTGATTCATCTTATACCCGCACGCAATTTAGTTTGGGAAGTGTTATTTTCCCGCAGTAGTGCGGAAATAGTTTTTCCCTCACAAGTACAGGAACATTATTTATATTATATTCTCGCAAAATATCAATTTTCACAAAACCATCCATCAAATTGCCCTATTCATTGTGAAAATGAATAAATGTTGAAAAATATTAATTTATTGTTATACACGAAAAAAAAGGGAATTGTTGCATCAACAAATTAATAATGCTCGAATTATTTTTGTTGGACTAAGAAATTTTTTGTTGAATCGACCAGATACATGATTATTTCATCGAAGCAGCTTTTTCAAATCAAGAATGTAGTCAAATTGAATCAACAGTATAAAATAATGTCGATGTTGATTCAACTATAAACGTTTTGTTGATTTGATCAAATAATGATCATTTTGATGGAAATCTTTGAAACAACATACAAGTTTTCTTATTCCGATGTAGCAATGAACTCGTGTCGAACTGATCATTTGCTTGAATAGAGCAACGAAATATGTAATATCAATGAAATATTTTGTTCATTTCATATCAAGTCACATTTTCGCCTGTAGTTGGCGATCATTTCGCCCCGTCTATGCATGCCTCGAATTCATGATATACGTGAAGCCTGATTCTTCGTGTTTGAATTATCAGCTGGATAAATCGATCCTGATGATTAGCAATCTGAAACAGTTTCGCATTAGCTGAAGAGAAGCGAAGACTGGAGATCTATGCTAGAATTCGACTAGTTTCCTAGTTCAGTTTATTATATTGGTGTGAAATTTCAGAAAATTCCCGAATTAATACTGAATTTAGTTCAACAAAACAATATGTCAAATGGAAATACAGTTTCTCTTGAATCAACGAAATATTTAATTGAATCAATCAAATATTTCATTGAATCAACCAAATAATTCATTGAATCACCCAAATATGTCTTTAAATCATCCAAATATTTCATTGAATCAACTAAATATTCTATTGAATCAATATCTAAATTGGATCAAACGGAATGATTACTTGATCCAATTCAATATCTCTTCATAAACAATTCATAGATGGACTTGATTGAATAAGATCCAGAGTTCATGCAAGACATATTTACTCGATTCAAACTCAAAATTCGCTCTAAAACAAGATATAGATTTACTCATTTCAATATTATTATTTGGTCGTGCATATATGACACTTTTATTTGTTTCATTCAATTAAATTTTACTTGATTCGACAATTCCTTTTTTCCGTGTATAAATCCCCCCATTGGCCTTCAATTGATCTGATGTGGGAAACAATTGTTGTCATTTCAATCAAAACACAAATTGGTTAGTGTAATTCTCACAGTGTTACTGTCATTTTCGATTAAGTGGAATTGCGATGAAAAACTCTCCGCCTCGCCTCTCAGCTACAGATGCGATACAGATGAGTTATTGCCAACGAAGTCTTGAGAAAGGTATGAGGAGCACCACACGGGATTTATTGGATGGTGCAATAGTGAAAAAGCTGAAACACCAAATAAAGAAGAAGTATTTTTGGCTCATTTCCTAGAAATGTCTGAAACCTAGAGGCCAAACACCATGGGCATGCTTGCATAATGCTTCAAACGGTACACACAACAGACATATCACTAATTATTATTAGAAGATAGAGAAAATATCACTATTATTGTTAGTTGTTCCTATTTGCAGGAATAATTGATTGAACAAATCGATCAATTTCCTACGCTTGTAGATAAAATATTGTTACTAACTCATGCGGAAAGAGTCTTTCCCACACTCGACTTCTTAGGAGAATTACTTTTACCATTAGAAGCCGACGATATTTCTGATGAACATAGGCTATTTTTTCCGCGCAAAAATACTCCATTCCTCGGGAAAACTGGTAATAGGACCGTTGTACCGTGGTAGTAAGAATTATCCTTCCGTACTTATCTTTTTCACACAACTTCTAAACGGCTTGACCGATCGGGTTGAAATTTTCAATAAATATAATAATAATAATGATAATGATAATTTAATTGCTGCTAGAACAGATTTAGAGCAAGAAATATGTATGTGAGAATACAAAAAAAGAGAAAATGATATTTTTATACGTATAAAACTAAGTTAATCGACTAACAATCTGCTAACAGTGCATGAATTGTGAAATCTTTGTAGTATGATAAATTAACTATCATCCACTCAATATAGATTAACGGAACCTGAGAATGTTCCAGATATATTCTGAGATTTCTTTGGCTACCGGAATAGTTATCTCTGAAACATGGATAAGTCCTTCGAACAACAAACCATAATATTAGTTCCCAATCACAGCCAGTGTTGTCATACAGCCTGAATTCAAAGTGTTCAATATCCCGTATTTTCATTTTTTATATTTTCATGAATCTAGTTCAACACATGCATTCATTCTTTTGTCGTATTAGATAAAATAACAATTCTGAAGAATCAATCCATATTCATTTTGTTATTTGTTGTCAAAAAATAGCCTGCGAGAGGATCACTGAAAGACAGTTATGAATATTTAATTTGCTATTCAAAACTGGGTCACGAATTTATCATAATATCAAGCACTGTTGCTGAAAGAATTAGCTGTTGGAAAGTGTCTTATTTTTACGAGTTGATATTTAGTGAGGAAATTTAACGAGAAAATGAAATTCACTTTCCAACGAGTTATGTACACTATTTTCCCTACGACCAGGGATATTTGAATTATTTGTATATTCTGTGATTATGAGACGTGAGTAGTTAAACTATCATATGCTTCTAATCAAATTCGATTACATGAAAATTATTTTATCAGGTAATAGCTTGGTAGACCAGATAATAATTCGATAATAAGACACAAAACATAAAAAAACAAATTTTAAATATTCAATTTTTTATCATAACATGTTATTCAATTATTATTAAAATTAATCCTACTTATTATTATATACTTTTATCTATACCTAACTAATTATTTCTTTCCACAGAATAATAATTGAAGGTGATGTGGTTTCCTTGGCAATTCGTCAAAATTCAATGGCGTGTTCATGAGTGGAGATTTGAGATTTTCTATAATCTCGCTGGTATTTTGAACTTCTTTGATATTCCTTGTTACTGATGGTGCTTGCCTTTGAACTTTTATGAGATTGTTCTCCAGACGGTGCCAGAATATTTTCTTTGCTGCAAGAAACTACTGCGCCCTGCGATTTTTGTAGTAATGCCTTTTGAGAGTAGTCAGGTCTGCTCCGGCATCTACTAAAATAGTTGCTGATGATCTGCGAAAACAGTGACCAGTATACAATACTTGCTGCGTGCACTTTCCATTTTGTTAATTTAAAAATAATCTTTTTTCATTTGTTTGTGGTCTTAAATTTGCGTATTTCTTATATATAAATATCATAGAATAAACCAGTAATGCTGAACTTTCGAAAAATTTTGTTCTGTGGCATGCCTCTGATATGGCCAAAATGAGTGATGCCAGCTTGAAACATAAAAATTATTATTATTATTATTACTATTATTATTATTATCATCATTATCATTATTATCATTTTTATTGATTCTGTTTTTTTCGATTTGGCAGGAATTAATATCAACGATGTCACTTGAGCGGCTGCAATAATTTCTCGTGGTGTAGATTCAATATCACTGTCCATATCACCGTCTATTTCCATATTTTGAATAATCAAAAACTTCCACACTTCAACTTCATTTCAACCTTTTACACTTATCAAATGATTATATTTGTTTACTAAAACAATTTCATTAGATTTTCGAAACGCGCCTACTCGAATTCGATTTTTTTTTATTTTTCGATCATTGTCGCCAGCTACCACGCAACCCAAAATACAGCAATTAAAAGCTCACCCGATAGACGACCTAAGCGCTGTTGTAGACAGCAAGGAGGTTATGTCTCGGGATTTATGATTTATTAATTTATTATGAATGACAAAGAAACATGAACCTGATCAAGATGCGAAATGATAAAAATCATAAACTAATGAAAATGAATGTATTTGAATGGACGAATAATAAATACCTATAGTGATTCATTTACCAAGTAAGTACATCATAATATGTACAATACCTTCCTGAACCATGTGTGGTGAGCGTGAGTTTTTTCAATATTTCAACACACGTGAGAATCACCTTCGAACTTGTGCATCACTATGGTGACATGAGATACTTTCTAAATAACAAAGTGGTGTGTTTTATGCTGTTTTCATAGGTGATGATCGTAGAAAAACTGTATTGCCTGGGCTATAGATTACTCATCTTGTCATTCTAGTCTGTTTTATGATCGAAGTATAAGTCCATCCAGATTCTGATGGCATTGTTCATATTTCGCTTCATAACAGTGTTAATCAGGCATTCGAAGATGATATGAAATAAGGTTTCGGGATTATCACTATTGCAAACAGGGTAAATTTATATAGGAAACTTTAACAGCAGTTATGGGCTTGGATTTTTTGTGGCAGTTAACGTATAGTACATACATATACATGAATGGGTAACGAGATGCCATAGAGACATCTTCATTTTGTACAAAACTAGACCTAATAATAATTTAATATGTTTCTCCTATTCGAATTCAGAGTATGCCCAGTCATGTTATTCCAAATTTCCAGAAATCCGATATCAATAAAAAATTACTTTTCCTACGACTACGATATTGTACACAAAACAATGGCAGTAAGCTTCTCTTTACACACGTGTGTGTTAAGAGAGCGATCGCACGGTTTTCATAGGTATATATGTTGATAGATGATTTTGTTTTGTTGCTTTGGCGATGTGTCAATAACAATTAACAATTTCATTAATGTCAGTAGCTAGGTGGGTAGGTAATTATTTTTTTATCAATCAATCCAGCTATCTACCGAAACCGAAAGCAGGTATATAAGTTATATTTTTTTAAGAATATTTTCTATTGATGATCCTCAATCTCAGTTTGAAAAAATGATGTCAAGCAATGACGATGAGCAGATTATTTCTACACCACCAAAAATTTTGGAAAAAGCTAGAATGGCTAAAAATGGGTTGCTACCCGCTAAGTCTCATGAATGATACGAAATAACACATGAAAAATTCCTGGACTGGAGAATTATAAATACCAGGTTGGCGGTTCAGAGCGCAATTGGAAAACTCTTTTTTTATTATTTTTGATAACGATTCCAGAATATCTCGTGCTGCACTGTTACAATGAATAACCCTTATGAATGTTAATTTTATATTTTTATATGATGTGTTTTTTGCTATCAATAAAAATTTTCATATATGAAAAACGACTCCATTTCAGTTCGAATTGAGGAGAATGTCTTGGTATGCAATGTATCAATAAACAAACACAAGAATTTTTCATGCAGCTGGCTTAGTGACGGGAGACGTGTTTATATAGGTATTCGTTATTTGTGTCCCAATACAATATCTGCACTATCCGGAAGGAAATATAGTGTAGTCGTAGAAAAAGTGTAGTACAATTCTCGAGTTGTAAAGCAATTACGCACTTGTGGAGTTACACACTCGCCGCTATGCGGCATCGTGTGTAACTCTCTCCACTTGGTGCGTAATACTTATACGTTTTACAACTCTTGTTATGTAATATACTATCATCATTTCATGCAATTGGAATTGATATATCTATTTAACAGATATCATTCAATATTCTGTGCTTTTATCCAGGAAAGCATTTTTATTTTGTTAGATATTCAAACAAAACTTATTGTACATTCCTAAAATTTTCAGAACTAGGTATTTCCAATGCTTGACAGATATCTTGTAGGATAAGCCAGGAAAGTACCTAGTTGTTTTCTGTTAAATATAGTTATAAGGATTCTCTCATTTTCCAAAAAAATGAATAAATCTCAAATTCTGGAGAAGATTCTTTCCACGTTTCTAAGTTACTAACATAATAACTAACTAATATATTCACCATTCTGATAGCAGAACAATCACAACAAACCCAAGGAAATTTGATAGTTTCATATTTGGGAGAATACAAACTTTCGACTAACGAGAACTTGGAGTCTTTATATACCTACTTATGTTGACATTTTATTTTTATCATCATTCAATATTTTGACGACCTAAACTGCTCAATTCTTGAAGTAGTCCGCTGTATATTCAACCAACAAATTCACCTTGATTCATTCAAAATTATTTCTCGAACTGATTCAGACTATCGAAATGAACTAATTACAGAAAAATCGAATTATAAATTATTGCTCGATGTTGGTGAGAGAGGCAATCGAGAAACATTTTGTGTTTTCTTGCACTTTTTGTGGAAATTAGCTCTTGAGAATACTTCATTTGGCTGGCCTTTAGACAAATAATAATAATAATAATAATTCGTCTTTATTTCCTCAAAAGAATATTACATAGTAATATGGGGCATTGATGGTATATGCACCAGGCGAAGTTTAGCTGGGAAACTATTCTCATACTCAACCTGTGCTCAACTTATTATCTTTAGATTGTAGATTGTAGATGGGTCGTATAGGCTGGGAAACCTCTCGATCACTGCGACCTAGAAGATCTATTGTGATTACCCATATCTAGTTTTGGTCCTCTAACCCTAGACTTCTGATGAAGCCTACAATTTTCCTGACGGTTGAATTTTCCACCTCAGCAGGGGTGAGATAGACCTGTTCTAGGTGGTTCAGCCTTTGGCGGACTAATACTTCACATGAGCAAAGTATGTGTTCCGCGGTTTCCGTCGCATTGTTACAAAAGTGTCAGTCTCCGCCAGGCCCATCTTTTTGAGGTTGTACCTCAGAGGGCCGTGTCCTGTGAGAAAGCCTGTGATGAACGTTAGCTCTGGTTTGCTGAGGCTGAGTTGCTCCTTGGCTCGGTTCTGCGAATGGTTGATGAACCATTTCGCTTGTTGTTGACCTGGAGTTGCTCTCCAGTAGGAGGACTTTTCAATTTCTTCCCATTTCCTGAGTTCTTCCTTCAGGTGACATTTGCTCAACCCACAAAAAGACTCAGAACCAAAAAGTGCAGATGCTGCACCTTTTTTTGCAAGGCGATCAGCTGCCTCATTTCCTTTGATTCCTTCATGCCCTGGAACCCACATAAGGGTGACTTTGTTGTCCTTTCCTAGTTGCATGAGTGTTTCAAAGCAGTCCCATGTGATATTTGATGTGAAAACGAATGATTTTAGGGCTTTCAGTGCGGCTTGGCTCTCTGAGCAGATATATATGTTGGCACCCCTCAGACCTTTGCTCAGGCACCTTTGGGCGCACCATGGGTTTGACCACCGTGAGATAAGACCAGTAGATCATATTTGGTTTGAGACCCCACGTTTGGCCAAACATCTTTCGGCATATCCAGAGAGCTGAAATTGCCCTATTGACGATTCTGGTCAAGTGTTGGTTCCACGTGAGTTTCTTGTCTAGGATTACTCCTAGATATTTGACCTCGTCGGAGAGATTGATAGCCGTCTCATCCATAATGGGTTCCTTTAACTTGATCTTCCTTCTTTTGGTGAATGGAACGATGACTGTTTTGCTTGGGTTGACATTCAAGCCCTCCTGAAAGCACCAGTCTTTCAGCAAGTTGGGTGCAGTCTTATTATAATGACAATGTCATCCGCATAGCCTTGAATATCGAAGCCAGCGGTGCTTAGTTTGTTGAGTAGGTTATCGAAAACTATGGATCATAAAAGAGGAGACAGTACCTTTCCTTGGGGGCAACCTCTAGTGGCCTGTGCAGTTACCGAGCTGCTTCCCAGTGTAGGTTTCATTCTTCTACTCCTGAGCATGGATTGTATCCAGCCTGTTGTTGGGGCCTCGAGCCCCTTGATGGTTATCTCGCTCTATCGATTTATAGGAAGTGTTATCGAACGCTCCTTCTATGTCGATGAAAGCACACAGAGCAATTTCTTTATCTATCTGTGTCTTTTCAATCTTTCCCACCAGACTATGTAAGGCGGTCTCTGTAGATTTGCCTGATTGATAGGCAAATTGATTTTTGTGAAGCGGACTATTCGACAGAATTTTGCTTCTGATGTATTGATCAAGTAGTTTCTCCATAGTTTTCTGGTGAAACGAAGTGAAGCTACTAGGTCTATAGGATTTGGGCTGGTCGCTGGAACGTTTACCCACCTTTGAAATAAAAACCACATTAACCTCTTTCCATGTTTGCGGAATGTGGCGCAAGAAGTAGCTGGCTCGAAATAATCGAACCAGTACTTCTAGTCCTAATACTAATTCTTAACCTAGAAACCTAAATCTAGCTTGACATCTACATTTTCACTTATTGTGTCACATGTAAGGTATGATTTAACAAATTACTTTCAATTTTTCTACGGAATTGCGGCGAAGGTGAATTGTTTGATTTCTCTTGGTGATGAATTATAAAGTATAACTGGGTTGAATATACATCTTCTTGCAAACATAGACGTGGTATGATGGGGCATTGTAAATTTTTTCTTTGAGATAAGCTGGAGTTGAATTCTTCAGCAACTTGTGAATGAAATACAAGAAATAATATTTTTAGGAATTGCTCATATCTAACCACTGAAGTTCCCTAAATTTATGGGTCACATGATCATATTTCCTCAAATTGAGAATGAGTCGACAACATGTATTTTGAATTTTCCGGATTCTGTGAATGGTTCTTCGTTCTGAACAGGGAAAATAAACGATGTTACAATGCTGGAAAATCAACAATTCGAGACAGTCACATAATTGTTTCCTCAGATTTAAACCCATGATGCTCTTGTTTGTGAAGGGCAATCTTTTCGTGCATATGAGTGCTGTATTAATATCTTGACATGTTCAACGAATCTTAATTTTTCATCAATGATGAGTCCTAGATTCTTCGATCATGTCGAGTATTCTAAAGGTGTATTCCCTATATGCAATTGAATACTTTCCTTGAGCTGTTATCTTACACCTTCAGAACAAAATAAAATAGCGACACTTTTGGCAGAATTCAATATCGTATGCTGAACAGAATATTGACAGATGTCTTGTAAATCGCGATGTATTTTCTCACAGGTTTCAATTTCAACAGAGGGTTCAAAATTATGCACAAGTTGTGTGTCGTCTGCATAAGTTTGAAGATTCGAAAATTTGATTTTATCATAAATGTCCGGCTGTATACATCAAGAATAAAAGAGGGCCAAGAATGGACCCTTGAAAAACACCGGAAATAGTGTGAGCTGGAAGTGACAAAAATCATTTATTTTAACCGTCTGATATCGATCGAAGAGGTAGAATTTGAAAGAACGAACAACTGAATCGGCGAAGCCATAATATTTCAGTTTACTACACAAAAGATCATGATCAATACAATCGAAAGCTTTGGAATAATCAAGGGATATCGAAATTGATGCCATCTTTTTATCGCGAGATCTGAATATATCATCGGTTATGTTCAAAAGTGAGGTTGTCGTACTATGACCGTTGCGAAATCCTGCCAAATGTGTTTCGTGTTTTCGTGAAAAGTTTTTCGTTATATTTCGAGGTTGACGAGAAAGGGATGTGCTGGCTGAGCCTGTCTATTTCGTCTGACTGGTGTTGTTGGTGATGGAATGATAGCCGACACTACATTGTTTCACCACTAACCAAACTGATTTTTTGAACGCCTCGTCTTGTGTTTCGCTAACTATGTTAGAATCTCCAGGAGAAGATGAAAACTCAGTTGGAACAGTATTCTGAAACGGGTGGGGTATGTGCTCTGTAGATTATTAAAAGCTGTTGAAGCGTGGAGTAGCTATTTGCTCGAAATATAAAGTTTAGCTAGATACTCATTGACACCTTTGTCGTGAGTTAGTTATCTGGAATAGAACTCAGTATGAAGAAATCTATATATCAACTGCATAGTTGTGGTTATACTCTCAACAGATCATTGATAGTCGTAGTAGATAGGTAGTCGTCAATAAGTTTATGAAACATCAAATACAGAAACAGAAAATATTAATTGAAAATGTAAATCACAATATAGACGAATGAACACAATATAAACTATTTAAACAGAAATTATTGATTGTAAATGTGAAGTACAATAAGGACAAATAAAAACACACACAAAAAAACAAGAATATAAACTACAATCTCAACTATATTATTCAAATCTCAATTCCGAGTAGTGAGAGAAGCACTCCATCAAAGTTCTTCTGAATTCATTCAAAGACATGCTATTGTGTTTGAGCTCTAATGGTAAACAGTTGAAATATTTGTAGGATTTATATAAATAAGATGATTGAGTGCGATGTAGTCTAAATTTTGGCTCAGCAATGACCGAGGTCTTGTTGATATGATCATGAGTATCTCGAAGTTCAACAGCTGTTCCTGCTATTGTCAGCTTCTTGACATGACATAAACACTCTAGTATGAAAAAACAGGAAAGAGTAATAAATTGGAATTGTTGGAACAGGGGTTTGTCATGAGCATCCCATTTAGCCTTACCCATAACACGTGCGCCCCCAAAAGAGTTTACCATAATATCATTGTGGCATGAAATATAACATTATACGCTACTCCCAAACAATCTGGAGTGGTTTTGTATGATAATTGTCTTATTGCATAGATACTTGTTGACAAGCGTTTGCTAAGCGAATCAATATGTGCATTGAAAGACATATGAGTATCTAGATATAAGCCTAGGTATTCGACTGGTTTGATATCTTCACTAAAAAGTCGATTGTTTGAGTTTTTTACTGATTCAAAGTGTGATAATTACTTCGAGTCTAATATCATGTCATGAAATTTTCAGAATTGGTGATGCTGAGTGACATGTCATTGGTATTTTTATAAGTGAATAAGAACGTGGTATCGTCTGCATAAATAATGGGAAGAAGTTCTGATGACTTTACGTTCGAAGGGAGATCATTAATGTAAATAATAAAAAGTAAAGGGTCCAAAACAGATCCCTGTGGCACACCTTAGTTGATTTTCTTATTGTTGGAAGTATTGTTGTTGAATTTGATGATTTGTTGTCGACCAGATAGATATGAGCACAAAAGGTTTAGTGGTGTCCCACGGATACCATAATATTCCAACTTACCGAT